TTCACAAGGGATAATAGGCAGACATATGCTTTTATAGTCGTTGTCCTGCAAAATCCATTCCACAAAATGATGGTGTTTTCAAATTTCAATCGTTAAACAAAATGAAGGGTTTAGATTGACAGGTTTTGCAGACTATTTTCGCCACATAAAGCACAATATATGAAGCTCGTGTAATTCTATTTCTTTGTCATCTGTCTTTTTTTAGCAATCCAAAAACGTTTTCGTACTTTTGCCAATATTGCCGAGGCTCCTCAGTGGAATATCTTCTCTTGATCATACCTTATCAAAAGTTTTGCGAATTTAGAGCTTTTGGGAAGAAGGATTGGATGTTATTCATCAAGACAGAATTTAAAATTTTCAAGTCTTTCACCAAGCCTTAAAATGTCGTTGGTGGTCCTGTTTTATTTGACGCTCTGTACATAGTAATTAAATTGAATAGTACTTAAATTCAGTATTACCCATCTGAAGTCTTCGTGGTTTTCACTAAATTTGTAGAACGGCATTTTTGATTTTACGGTATTTTCGATTGAATATTTACTATCCCGGCCGAGCATGCAAGGGTAAAAATGCACGCCCGATCTGAATTTTAAAATGCCCTATCGGGTAATTTTTGAGCCCTGGAATGCATTAAATGTCGCAGCACTTGGCTACGATAATTTAGTGTCTGTTTTTTAATTGAAGTTAGTTTTTTTTTCCTTGCTAGCTGGTTTAGAGCGGATTTCTTTTCATCTAAACTGTTTCTGCATTTATTAGCGGATTTCCAATTCATCTATATTTATATTTCCCTTTCACTGCAGCAAGAAAGTCCTCATAACTTTTTCGCGTCGTCAGCGAACAACTTAAGTATCAATCGCGCGCATGTGAGCTGTCACCACAATCATGAAAAAGTAATAAACGCACATGTTTTCAAATTTCTGAATGAAAATTCGTTACTCGCATGGACAACGAAAAACTGAGGAAAACTGAACTGTACTCTGGAAATAATTGAAAGGTTAAAAGCGAATAGTTCATATCAACAAAGTATTCTATATTTTATTTAAATTATACTAAGAATAATTAGTGTTTTGTTTCTCCAAGTCTTTCTATTGCATGTAATTTAATAAAATTTAAAAACTTTTCAAATTTAAATTCCTAAGATTTTATGTTAGTTCACTTTTCAAATGTTTTTAAGCGAGCAGAGCTTGCAAAGCAAACCTTAACCTTATAATGTTGCATAACAATCTTTGAGTGTTGCGGAACATTAGCAAACGCAGGGTGGAGTTTTAAAAACAAGTTTTTAAAACCGCACAAGTTTTTTTAAAATTGATCTTTGATTATTAAAGAGATCTCTCGAGTGATAGATGGAATATCGAATTCAAAACCTACCTCTGGAGATATTTGTACATTGAAAACTTGTTGTATTTTACTAAATCTCTCATTTTATGGTTTTAGGTGGAATCTCAAATTAAAATGTTGAAGGAAAAAGCTATGACAAATGGTACTACACACCCTGATTCAACAAATAATAATAACAGGTAATGACTAAGTTTTGGTAAGTTAAGGTAATGAACGCCAATGATGCTTAATTAATTTTGGTAATAAATAATTATTTAAATGAAAAGAAAAATTCTATGTACTATAAAGCAAAAATTAATAGAGAAATAGTATTAAATTGCTTAGGAAAAACGTAAAAATATTTTTAATTGGATATAATATGAAAAAAGCACAACTACTTCCACTTACTAGGAATAACATTTACCTTTTAGTTTAATTAATAAACTGAGTTTTAAATATGCTTACTAAATTCATAAACTTCGGTAAAACAGCAATATAAATTATTTCCAAAGGAACTAGACTAATACAATTCCAACCTGGCGAGTAGCGACTTATAACAAGACACTTCGTTTGATGCTTTTACTTGTTGCTAGAAATCAGGTTCGCAGAAAATNTAGGCTATAGTATACCCAATTATTGATACGTATTGATGCGTAATAATTACTAAATGAAATTTAAAAAAAACTATGGTTAAAGAAATATTAATAAATAAATAGTGCTAATCCGTTTAAGAGAAACATAAAAAATCGCCATGCTATTATAGACGCCAATGATGCTTAATCAATCTTGGTAATACCTACTAATTGGAATGAAAATAATATGCTACGTATTATAACGGGAAATTAATTTAAAAAATTAGAAAAATTAATAGTTTATGCGAAATGTAAAAGCTCGCCACATTATCATTGGCGTCAATGATGCTTAATTAATTTTATAATTGGCACTACTGGTATTATATGGTAGTTGGTATAGTTTGAATGGGTACCAAATGTCTCTTAATGCTATTATTATAGATTAAATAATTCCTGTTCCAGGAAAAATGAAGAAATATTGTATGATCCAATGATCTGCAAGTCAGTAGCTGACAGTTTAGGTGGTAGAATCAAGCTAATTATAAGTGGTGCAGCACCTATTTCTGATCACATTCTGAAGTTTTATCTGGCTGTTTGTAATTGTGAGGTAAGTAACATTAACTGAAATTATATTTGAGAATACCGTTTTAGATATTCAAGAATCATTCTTTTTTATAGGTCATGGAAGTGTATGGACAAACAGAATGCGGTGGTCCAAGTAACGCAAATATACTGACACCAGAAACAGTTGGTGAGTTGTCCACAATTATGATTTTTTATGTTAAAATGTATTGCGCAGCAAAATTTACGAATTTTATTGTTGTTGTTGCTAATTCCCATCTGGTCTGACGGGGTCAGACCAGATCAATGAATTCGTTGATATTAAGAAAATCCGAAACCAGAATGGGAGAGGAATGAATGTCGTTCTAGTCCAGCCCTAAACAGTTCAAGATGTGCTCAGGTGATGCCTGGTTTTGTTGGCATTTAGGGCAAAGAGGAAAGATCTTTTGATTTGCAGAAAATGTGAGACTTTTCAGGTGTCAACTGGCCAGTCGGGATAAGCAGGTGTTG